TATCTGAGTATCCGTATTTGTATCTGAATCTGTACCTGAGTATCTGTATCTGAGTATCTTTATCTGAGTATCTGTATCTGAATCTGTACCTGAATATCTGTATCTGAGTATCTTTATCTGAGTATCTGTGTATGAGTATACGTATCTGTATCTAAGTATCTGTATTTGAGTGTCTGTATCTGAGTATCTATATCTGCACCTGAGTACCTGTATCTGTATCTGAGAATTTGCTTATCTTAGAATCTTCATTTGTATCTGTATATGTATCTTTTGTCTTGTGTATGAATCTCAATCTCAGTATCTCTATACAACAAGCTCTGTCTATTAGTCAGTGTATCTGCAGCATTATCTAAGTATCTGTATACCTAAATATGTATATGTTTGGCAGCGCTTCTATGTCAGTGAACCTTAATCTTTTTTCTTGTATTTACAATCTGTGTTTGTATCTGAGTATCTTTAGTCCTGTATCTGAGTTTCTATATGCTTCTCTTTGCCTATATATCTAAATATCTACAGCTTTATATATATATACCGGTGTATTTGTAAGTTTGCATTTGCATAGGTTGTATTTTGTGATCGACTTGAGTAATGCGTGGAATACCTGTATTTCGCATTCCTAACAGAAATGACGGAATGACTCAACATACACACACACTCGCCTCCATATACAAAGAGAGTAGAGTGAGAAATACACACTCACTGAGTGATAAACCCGTTTCCGCACAACTCGTTTGAACTGTCACTCTGCATACAACAGCAAGTGAGGCTCGCGTAAGAATCATAATCATATGCAGTTGATTCAGCTCGAACAAGCTATCAATACAAAATTTAACATCAGAGCTCGACACATTCATTACATGATTAAGTATTCATAGCTCATATGCAAAAGGCATTCCAGGCCGTTTGGAGTTTAAGACCTCTGCACAAAAATCCCTTCGACTTGGGGAGAAATTCACTTGAACCATGAATAATTGTATGCAAAAGAATGTTACAAAGCTCTGCAGAACTTTCATATTATTCAATAACAACAATGAAATAAAATATTGAAATTTATGAAAAACGTTTTATATTATGAGATAAGAAATAATCGAATTTTAAGGAAGTTCGATTTTCTATTCATGCCTCGTATCGCTTCGAATTCTTGTTTGTAGAAAAATTGTGGGTAAGTTAACAGTGATTTACATATAATATATATGTAAAGTATTTATAATATATAGTATAATATAATATATGTAAACAGTGTTTAACAAAAATCCACGTACTACTTGAACAGGGATTTCGCATGACATTGGCAAACAGCGAACTGTCTAGAGTGAGAGAGGAGCGAATCTGCCTTATCTGGCACATCAAACAGAAATTTTTAGGTTTTAAATATTGTCTCGCTAAGATAAGGTGGAGCTGCTTTTGACAGTGAGCCAAATAAATATAATCCACGTGCAATGTCCCAGAGATGTTGATTTCAACTGCGCTTAGCATTAGATACGAACAGTATGTGCTTTTGGCAAATTATCTAACAAATTTAAATAGACTTTTAGCTAACGGATTCATGGGCAACGGAGCATGACAGCTTCTGTCAGGCGCATTCCCTGCTCGCTCTGATTGTTATTGTTAACAAAAACGTAAAACAAATCCAGAACGAAATCAATTTAATTGTGCGCGAGAGTGTGACAAAAAGTATTGTTGCTCGCAATTCGCATTTGTTTATTTGGCGTAAACGAGTTGCAGTGCAGAGCGCCACTAAATGAGAAGTTTGAAAGAGCGATAAGTTAGGCACCTGCCGCCTCGCACAGGTGACAGTGGGGCGCGACAGTGACAGTAATCGATAAAGCGGCGCGACGTGTAAACAAAACAAAAAGTCTATTTACGGAAAGCCAAAGAAACCCCTCATGTGTGTCCCCAGTTAACAGGAAAAGACAGCTAATAGACAGGCCAGAATAGCCACCGAAAAAAAAAAAAAATGTCTCATTGATTAATTTCAATTCCACACACGATACTATCCGCATAACAGCCATAACCGTTATTCAGTTAATCCCATGAATAGGTGGAATTTAATTGTTTTAATGAAATTAAATTTCAAACATCCAGTCTTTGATTTGCATACAAAGTTCGAACCAGAGCTGCAAATGAAGCAAGCCATGAGCACAGCGAATACTGGAAAAATGCACTCGAAACGAAAAAAAAACTTTGTTTCATCTCGTATAATCTGACTCAGAGCAACGATTAGTCCAAATTTAGAGTGCTACAGTAACATTAAAAATAAGCTGTACATTTTTATATGTATAAAATAGGTATAATAGAACATAAGTATAAATACTATATAATGGATTACGATTCAATATATTCTAAGTCTTGGAGAATATCAAAATATGGTAAGTTTATTATTTAATGAATTATTATTCAATATAATCAAGTTCCTAAGGGATATACAAATATTGTTAAGATATGATGCCCTGTTGACTATTACCATAAAGCCTAATCGTATTTATGCCCAGTTAACGATTAACTTTTCATTTTCTAAACATTATTGACCATCAATGCTGATAACATTAAATGAGATCCTCTCTTGCCACAGGAAACCTTAAGGTGAACAAACTTGAAATGCATTTGTAATGCATAAACTATAAGAAGTATAGAAGAGCGCCTATTAAGCTGTGCCAACTAATCGCAGCAACATTAAAGAATCAACGTAATGACAAAACGTTTACATTCGCAATTAGCCAAGTTTAATTTCCTGCCATAAAAACTTAAAAGTTTAAGAGGCAGACTCTGACCGGCTATAAAGACAGACGCATTCCTGGGGGAGGCATCTAGCCAGTCAGCCAGCCAGTCAGACCTGATAGTTTAAGTGCACTCTCATTCCGCGAGACATCAGCATATCAGCCAAGCTAATGAGTTGGCCAAGCATAATTGCCCTATGGCTAGAATACGTGAGAGCTAAAGGAACGACTAGAAGATGCTCTATACAACTTTGAGTTAAGTTTTACTAGAATCATAGGATCATCATCATGATGAGTTCAATAATACATATATACTAGAAATCAGGGACTATAGCTTATATAGCGACTTAGACCAGGCTTCAGCTGTCTGTCTGTCTCATCATAAGGCTCATCAACTGCAACATCATCATCATATATATCATCAGCTCTATCATACTCTGGGGTTAATCAGAAATATAGCCTTGAAGAGGACAATAAGAGAGGCAAAGAAACATTTTTAAAGCTGATGCTTCAGCTCACCATCATGTTTCTTGAGAAAACCGCTTTAAACAGAGCTTAAGCTCATGTTTTGAAGATGTGATCTAAGAGCAGTACGAAGTTGGCTTCGTAGGTTCCTCGTGTTTGCTTCGGGTATGCCTTTGGTGTTTGTTGAACTTGCGGAGCACGTTCCAAGCCACAGACGGAGATGCCAGCGATCTCCAAGAATGCAGTTTGGCATAAGCGAAAGGCAAGTGAGAAAACCAACTGGAAACTGGTTTCAGTCAAGCGATTGCACCAGGCGGGCCAAACAGTTGTTGTTATTGTTGTTTTTCATTTTTCTGTTTCTTTTGCTCTTTGTTTGTTGGTATTTTCATGTTCTTACTTTTTGCTGTGGCTTGTTACCGGTTTTCGGTGGGACTCTAACCTGCGGCTGATGCCTGGCTTTTGGCCGTAAGTTTTTGTGGCCCCAACATTTGTTGCTTAAGCTCGTTAACTTTGCTTTAAGTACAACACCTTGACAGTTCTACGAGTGATTCATTCAAAAGATTTATCTTTCTCTCTCTGTGCTAGAGAATTAGCTATTCGCTCTGGCTTATGGGATATAAGCCAATTCACAGCTTTCAAATACTCTCTAAATAATGAGTATGCAAATAGGGAAAATGTAAAAATTATGTTGAGTGGGTGAGAACTGTGTAGAGCTATCTGGGGCCCTCATACAGGAAAGTATCTATTGTTATGAGCACTCTCTCCACTCTTTCACATTAGCTGGCAACTAATTTCATTGGTTCATAATTAGTATAATTTCAACCACACCTACTCGAACTTGGGTATTTATTTACGTATTTCCATTTACAGACCAACAAATTAAAACTAAATTCATACAAGTTTACAGAAACATATATATTTGTATATTTGTTTTCGCTGTGAGGGCATTATCTAAGGGCATTATCTAACTGACATTGCCTAAACAATTGTTTACTTTGATATCTCTCCAAAAACAAAAACAAATTACAGCCTTTACTCATATTTCGCAATGAATCATCTATGCATAACACACACATGGAGATATATATAAAATATAAAGATCTACAGTCGATTGCAGTGCTGGCTAATAACGCTAATTGCAAATATTAGTAAAGCTCGTTAATTGCGATTTGCGAGTTGCCCTGTTGGAAATTTGGAATTATGTTTGGAAAACATTCATAGACAGCGCCATACTTCATTTATCTATGAATATAAAAATGGGGAAAAAGATAGAAAATGAACCAGGTCCGCCTCAGTTTAAACAGCTGCCAGCTGTGTGTCCATAGGCAAAGAAGCCATATCTTACCTACCTACATAGCTAAGTCTCCGTAGTGATAATTATCGACCAATCTTTGGTATTTATTTTCTGTTTATACGAACATTTATCTAACATACTTTAAAAACTTCAGTTGCCTGCTCACAGTTATTTCAATACATTGCAGAAACGCCAAAGCTAAATATTTGTATACATACAAAAAAATTCAACAAATTCAGGAATTATTTTATATATTGTATACGAAAGTTTTGCGCAGTCCGATCCAAAAACCTGTACACAACAACAACAGCAGCTACAACAACAACAACAACAATTTAAGAATCAAAGAATTGTATGCAAATGATTACATTTCATGCAAAAACTCGTTTTCGGATTGAGAGTCCAGTGGAGTCGTACCATCCACAATATATACTATATAGATCTACATATATGTCACTTGAGTATTGTTGTTGTTGTTGCTGCTGTTGTTTTGCTTTTGCTTGACATTTGTACCAGAGACATACCATTTAAGCATTGTATTTGTAGTTGTATTTGTATTTGGAGAACTGTTCAATTTTCTATCCAAGCGCAATTAAATCCAGCTATGTATTAAATTTTCGATTATCATTTGGCACGTTCAATTAAATTTTGTTTAGGTCACCAAACCGGTTTTCTAGCATTATATAATCTATACCGATTTATATACTGATTTTTATATATTTATACATATATATACATAGTTATTATCTTAAGCACTTAACAAACTTCACGGCACCGTAAGTGATAGAGAAACAGCACGATTTCGTAACACTAGAACACCATTTGATCAAGCAGTACCTGGAATAAACGTAACGTAGTAACTTAACCCCCCGACTTGGTATGTAATATTACGCGGACATGGGCTTTACGGAGCACCACCACCACCACCTAGTGTGGACTATGCAGACTGACGAACTGGCGAACTGTCGGTCAGCGGGCGACGCGCTTTCCAGAGAGGTTTGTTCGATTCGACGGCTCAAATTTGTCTACTGTACTGCTGCAGCGACAGACTGGCTCGAAACTCATTTGCCAAGCACACACACACACACACAGTCGAGCGCAGAGCAAACGAGCGAGCGACCGAACGATAGTAAAAGGTAGAGAGGAAGAGAGCGGTAGAGAGCAAGATTCGAAGAGCGAAGCGTGGTGACAGCTGTTGGGCTTTGTACATACTATACATACACATACATCTACACATCTGTGTACACACACGCACACTCATACACGTGCGTGCATGAGTGTTTCGCGCTCTTGCGATGCGCCTGTGTGCGTGGCTTTGCCCAGTGCCATTGTATTATTATTTACTACCAACAACGGCAGTTACCTCGAGACCGAGAGCGGCGACACCGATAAAATTGCTACGCGTTTTGTTCAGCTTGTAGATTTCGTGGAGTAGGCAACAAAATAGATCGGCCAGTTGAGCTCACGAAATGCGCTATAGCCAAGAGAGGCTCTTTGCTTTAACAGATCATGAACTACGAATAAATGGTGATACATACACTATATGATATGGTGACACATATATTATATTATTATAAGCGAAGCTAATGTTCTAAATATGTTTTAATGCAGCTCAAAGAAGATAAGGTTATAAGATGACCTATTATTCACCAAGAAATCATTCAAATATTTATACGTATAGAAGTACGAGAGAATTATATTTATGTTATATATTAAAAAGAGAAGCCACTTCTCGAAGCATTCAATACCTGACACTTTTCGATCTTAGAGTAAAATTTAATTTCATTTTCAATTATAAATCTCATTGGTATTTTACACAAAATTACTGTTATTAGTTCTACATTCAAAATTTATTTTTAAATTATTTTTTGTTGGAAATATTTGAATATTGATATTCAAGCAAAAACAATAGAATTATCTATAATACTATTTGTATACTAAATATTCTCCCACTGAAATGCCTATACACTCCACTATTTGTAATGTAGGGCATTGAAAACCAGTTGTCGGTTCTGCAGCTGCCAGTTTTACTTACAAACACAGACAGCCATGCCTCCAGGTCTGCGCTATGTGACACCGACTGGAAATCATTCCCGTCCGAAGAGAATTGTTTTCTTTTTTGTTTGTTTTTTGTTGCGAAGAAAGAGAAAATCAAAAGAGAGCCAAACTCGTGCATCATATATCAGCAATATATAGTTAGAGATCGGCGTCGTTAATCAATAATATTATACAACGCCATGACAGTAGCTGGAAATTGATTAACTGAACCAACGAACTAACAATTGAACTTATCGTATCGTACCGTTCAAGTGACCAACCTGGTTTCCACGGCTGCAATGACGAATGATCAATCGAGCTGGCAGCGAACAAAGCAATAAGACAAGGTCGTTGTGTGAAGAGAAACACAGATAAATGCAAAGAGAGAGAGAGGCCCAGTCGTTTCATGAAACTGTTGTTCTGTGCATGTGATGGAAAGGTCGAAGACTGAGAGACAGAGAGAGAACCCGAGTGAGAGAGTACAAAGAGCAGCTCTCAGCATTGGAACGTGCGAAAAATTGCAATGCAGCGGCTTAAAGAATATGCGTGTGTGTGTGACTGTAAATATATACGAATATATGTAGGTATCTAAATGTATATACAAATTTATTTAGTGTGTGTGGTTTGCTTAATGTAGATATGAGTTAGGTAGCTGAGCTGGTACACAGGTAAAAATGCTCCCAATGAATCGTGAAGCCAGCATCGATTGCTGAATCAAGAACTAATATTCAGAAAATGCTATTTCCACACATAAAGCAGAGCCAACTCACACTTTCATTTTGTCGAGACCTCAACTGGGCAAAAGCCCCGTTAAAAGTCAATTTTAGCAATTTGCCTAAGAGCCAACAAAAGCTAGTCAATAGCAAATGTGCTAAACAAACTACAATTGCATTGTCTACTCCATCAGTCAGGTACAGTTTATATATATTCGTATAGTATATACATCGCTGGCGCTCCTAATGCCAGACTAAACCACTCCCCCACATAGCCACCCAGTGGATAGACAAAAGATAAGCCACTAACAATGCCACGATTATCGAATAGCGAACAGTGGATAGCGGATAGCAAAAAGCGAATGTGGATTGGGGATTGAGGGATTGGCAACGACCACAAGCTGAGAAATCAATGTCGAGATGGCTAGACAAAAGCCACATGTTGAACTAATCAGAAATTCAATCAAAATGTGCAAATGCAGCCGTCAGATGTAACAATCGAAACAATACAATAAAACGTTTCAAAACGATCAAAACAACTGTAATGAACTCGATCGATATACATAAATGCATTCGCTTATTTGCGAGACTAAAATAACTTGTGTTTACCCCTTAGTTATGCCATAAATTCAAATTTCATAAATTCCCTTTTCGATCCAAAAACCATCTTCGTAAAATCCAAATACGTCGTATGTTTTGTGAATAACTATTTGTGGAATGTCGATTGGTTTTTTATTGTTTCTGTTGTTATTGTATTATTTTTTTATGGATATATAAAATAGTTGTACTATTTTCTGTTATTTTTCATATATTTTTTTTATATTACTTTGCTTGACATTTATAAAGAAAATTGATTAGTTTTTGAAATGTTTATTTATTTATTTATTTTTTAAATGATGATTTTTTTTTTTGCTTTTTGAT